CGGGCGCGCCCTTCGCGGGCGACCTGAAGCGCCACGACGACAGCCACACGGGGCCCCGCTGGCGCCCATCGGGCCTCGCACGTCGGATCCGTTCACTTTCCGCTCCAGGGTCGCCCGAACCGGCCTCCCGCTTTCGCGCGGCAGGGCCATCGCTGCGGCGGCGAGCCAGGGGCGCGCCGTGCGAGAATGCGACCGCGCGAGAAAACGGCGCCCTGCGGCAGTCTACGGCGCGCTGCTCCCTCCGCCGACATTGCCCGGGCGCGATCTTGCTGCCGCCGCAGGGTGGCGATGCGCGGCCGGGGCTCCACGCTGCTCTCGCACGCCACGCGCCACGGGGACTTCCGTTCACGCGGGCGCCACGCATCGAGTTCTTCCCAGCAGGGCCGCCGACGGCTCGCGGCAGCAGCCGGGGCAGTTTGCGGCGCGCGCGACGCGGCGCAGGGTGGGGGGGGCGGCCCAGCCAGGAGCTGGGTTTCGCCGAGTTTCTCTGCGAGGCCTGATTTGTGGAGCGGCCCGCCCGAGCCTCGCCTTCTTTCGAGTGTCCAGCTGCATGGTCTCGCACCGCGGACGACCGCGCGCCCGACCAGCGCGCGTCGCGGGGACTCCCGTGCGCTGTGCCTCCAGGCGCTGCCCGACACCCGCGCGCTCTGTCCAGCAACTCGCCCCTGGTCAGCCGTCCGTTTGTCCGTGCTCCGCACCGCGGGCGACCCGCGCGCGTCGCCGGGGCGCCCGCTGGGCGGCCGCGGCCGCCAGGGCGAGAGAACGAAGTGGGGGGACAGACGAGGGAAGGACACAGACACAACACGGTCGCGCCCAGCCGGGGGCACCGTGGACCAGGCGGGCGGGAACGCAAGGCACAACGGCAAGAGCTGGGAAGGAGAAAGATGAAGGATGTGGAAAAGCTTGGCAGGATATGGACACAAAGCAGCGGCGCACGGGGCTCGCGTCACGCTAAGATGACCCTCCGCTCGCCCACGTCCGCTTCTTCCCCCACCCACGCCCCAGCCCTCTTGCCGGAGCCCCCCTCTCACCAGCCTCGCGAGGCTCGCAGCCACGCGGTGTCGCGCTTTTCGCGTGATATGTTGTGGACAGGGGGGGGCCCGCGCCCGCCAGACAATGCGCCAGCCCCCCTGCCACCCCTGCCAAAAACAAGACACAGCGATCTCGGGTGGGGGGCCGGCGCGTGATCCAAGATTTTGTTGCAAAGGACACTTCTCAACCATCCTGTGTCGTTGGGTCGTCGTTTTGACAAGCAGCGCCCCGCGTCCCTCATACCTCCTCCGTCTCCCTCCTACATCTCAACCCTTCCTCACATTGCGTCGCGCCCTTCGCGCGCTTCGTAACCCCAACGGGCGCCCCACCAAAGGCCCCAATGGGAGGGTCTGCGTGGCGCCACCGCACCCGTTGCGGAACACTCCCCGCACGCTTCGTGGCCACATGGGGATTTCCACAAAAGGCCCCATTAGGTGGGTCCGCATGGAGCCAGCGCACCCACGTCGGCACACGCTTCGTGGCCCCATCAGGAACCCCACCGAAGTTCCAAGTGGGAGGGTCCGCGTGGCGCCACCGCGCACACTTCGGCATACCCAGCACATGTTTCGTGGCCCCAGAATGAGCTCCACCGAAGGCCCCAGTGATTCTGGGAGGGTCCGCGTGACGCCGCCGCGCCCGTTTTGGCAAACCTCACGCGCTCCACGGCCCCATGGGGGTCTCCACCGAAGGCCCCAATTGGAGGGTCCGCATGGCGCCGCCGCACCCATGTCAACACACCCTTCACACGCATCGCGGCCCCACGGGGAGCTCCACAAAAGGCCCCAGTGGGAGGGCGTGCATGGCGCAACCGCATCGATGTCGGCACACCCCTTCAACGCTTCGTGGGCCCATAGAGAGCTCCACCGAAGGCTCCAGCGGGGGGGTCCGCATGGAGCCACCGCGCCATTTCAACACAATTTTTCGCACGTGTCGTGCCCCCCCCTTTTTCGTTCCACCTACCTCGTGATGATTATTCGCACCTGCTGATGGGGGGGGCTCGGCTGGGGAGGTCGTCATGGGCCCTAGTTAGTCGCCGGTCCGGTGGGGGAGGTGCGTATCTAATGGGATTCGGCCCATCCCGCCACTGTGCCTGGACTGCTGGTCTGTAGCCTTCTGGATGTTCTTTGGGATTTCGTCGAGGCTTCGCGGGGGCCTCCTGGAGGCAGTTTGGGTGCCTCCGGGGGACTGTTTCGTGGCCTCTTGGGTTTTCTTTTGGGCCTCTTGGGGTCCTCGGCCTCGGTGGGGGCCTCTTTGTGGCCTCTTGGGACCTCCTGGGCCTCTTGGGGCGGACGGCTCGGATTTCCGTTTCGTGTTCCCCCTCTTGGGCCCCTCTTAGGGCCATCTTGGGTTGCTTTGGGCGCGTTTGGACCGTCTTGAGGGCCTCTTGGGCCGTCTTGGGCCGTCTTGAGGTCCTCTTGCGCTTCTTGGTACGTCACGTCTTCGAGCGGAAGGCCTCTCGGGGCCCTCTTGGGAAGGCTCTCGGAGGCCTTTTGGGACGTCATGGGCGCTTTTCTTCTGCCGACGGGAGGCCATCTTGGGCGCATGGGAATGACTGACTGTTCGGCGATGTGGGGCCCTCGTGGACCGTCTTGGGGACCTCTTGAGACCCTCGTGCCCGTCTTGGGGCCCTCGTGGGCCCCAAAAGATCCTGCGGAGGGGCCCAGGGGGCGCGCCGAGAGCTCCGGAAGGTTTGAGAGCCAGGGGCCTGGGCGAATCCTCGGGATTGAGGACTGAGGCTGAAGTGATTCGGCCCAGGACCTGAGGACACTTCAACTCGTGCCTCAAGGCCGTTAGTCGCCGAGTGCGCGTGGCGTTGCCAATGGTTGCAAACGAGAACAAGTTGGCAATGTACCTTACGATTGGTTTTGGTTCTTGCTCACGCGCACGGGAGGAGAAGGAGGAGGAGGAGGAGGAGGAGGAAGAACGACGACGAGGAGGAGGGCGCTGCTGGGGTGAGGTTATCTTGGTACGTTGCAGTGTTGAAGAAGCCCATTGGACTCTCGAAGGCCTCTGGAGCCCATCTTGATGTCCTTTGGATGGTGCAGGAGCCTTTGAGGGCTCGCTGAGGGCCTCAGCTGCTCTGATACCCGCGTTTTGAAACGTAACCCGTGCCGTGTTCGAAACGTCCGTGTTCAAAACGTGCGTGTTCAGTCTACGAGTTGATTTCCGTATCAATGCGTGTTGCGTATCGGGGCAGCTAAGCTAAGGGCATGACGTGAGTTGGGAGTGTGCAGAATGCAGCGCGTTGTATTTCCAAGTGCCCCGACGCTCAGGTCATAGTGACCTGCGGAATGCGCGAGGCCACTCTTGGCATGCACTTCGCATGCAGAAGCCATACCCACTAGCAAAGTAAGACGACATACTCGGCACATACTCATCGAAGCCCAACGCGGTTCCGGCCGCATTGCTCCCATTTCGTTCACCAAGGGGGCCCGCCGAATACGGTGGAACGCCCCTAGGGGGCAGGCACCGCCGCCGCACGTTCTTGCAACGTGGCCGCTTCGACGACAGAGTCGAGGTGTGAAATTCGCGGGCAGACTTTGGGAGGCTTGCTGGAGCAAGAAGAGGGTCACTTGAACAGACGAGGTCGTCAGAGGGCCCAAGACGTCCCAAAAGAGTCCCGACAAGCGCTGGGAGCGGCCCAGGAGGCCCTGGTGACAGACTGGAGAGTGTGCCAGCGGTGCCGGAAGTGGTGGGTGCCGTCCAAAAAAAGGAGATCGTAGCTCTGGTGCGAGGATCCTCTGCATGCTGCTATGGATCGCGGCCTCAGGATAAGTCGGGCCTGTCCCCCCTACAGGAGGATTTTCGACGACAAATAAAAAATACCCCAAACAATAGTCAAAAAAATAGTCCCAAAAGTGGTCTGGGGACTATTTGGGGGGTATCTTTTGATCCTGTTGGGGTATGTTTTTTTTTTTTTCGCCGAAAATCCCCCTGTAGGGGGACACGCCCGACATAACCTCAGGAGCGAGGGTCCTTCGCGTCTCCTGTGATAAAGTGGACCACACTTGGCAGCGAGGCCGCCGCGCCAGGGGGACGGCCGACGTGCCCCCACGTCTGCCCGACGAGCACCTCGCGCGCTGAGGGGGCTGCGAGCCCAGGGCAAGCAGTGTCTCGGAGGGCTCAGGGTTTCGGGTTCAGGGTCCACGAGCAGCGGAACAAAAAGTGGCATAAACATAAAAACTCGGAGGTCCGCGCGGATTTCTCGGAACGGCGCTGCACCCCCCTGGCGGCGCCTCCGGCGCCGCCCCTGGCGCGCTCCGCGCGCCAGGGAGGGGGTCCAGCAGAAATCCGCGCGGACCTCCGAGTTTTATGTTTATGTCACTTTCTGTTTCCCTAACTAGCCCAAACTTGAAGCTTGTTGGACGCGTCCCGCCCACCCATGACCCAAGACAGATTGATCTCAAAACGACGACGACGACGACGACGGCATCGATGACGAAGACGACGATATTGATCTCAAGACGACGACGACGACGACGACGACGACGACGACGACGACGACGACGACGACGACGACACAGTCGCGCAAAGACTTCTTAGTTCAGAACACCATTGCTGGCATTCCGAGGGCACGGATCTGCGTGAGGGGTGTGCCCAAATGGGGGGGCGCGGAAGGGGCGGCGTAAGGGCGCTTGAAGGCATCTTAGGATTTTAATATTTATAGGCTCTTAGTTCAGAACACCATTGCTGGCACTCCGAGGGCACGGATCTGCGTGAGGGGTGTGCCCAAATGGGGGGGCGCGGAAGGGGCGGCGTAAGGGCGGCTGATGGCATTTTGGAATTTAAATCTTTATAGGCTCTTAGTTCTTAGGGTTTAGGGTTTTGGTACAGTGAAAGTTGCGGCCAAGCTCTGCCCAACATGATCCTGGGCTGATCCTTTGGAGGGCCCCTCGTGCGGCCAGCTGACTGCCCACGTGTGCATCTGTCCCATCGCCGGGGCGTTATGCTGCACCATTCCGCCTCAGGTGGTCGAGATGGTGCCGTCACTCCCGGTCTCCTACGCGGAGATCTGCAACACCCCCTTGCGTGACTACGTCTTCGGGCGCCTGGGATCTCGAACATGGCTTCTGTTGGGGGGTGGCGCAAGACATCAGCCTGCCTGCTTATGGAAGCCAGCCTTCCCCCAGCCATGCGACTCTGAGCGCGAGGTTGGCAGTATTCAGAAATATGACGACCAGGGAGTGGACAGCTCCCATCTGTGACCTGCCAGCTGACGAAGATCCATGGCATTGGATACTCGAATGAGTTCGGAACTTGCAGATAAGGAATATATGTTGGCACTGTGTATCCAGAGTGTTCAAGTGTTTATAGATGTGCGTTCCAACATTGGGAAGCGTAAGCAGCACATCGTTCCGAAAATCGATGCCTGACGCGGTACGAAGCTGCGTGCGTGCATAACCGGGTGAGGCGTTCATCCATCACGTTTGCCATATCGGTTGTTGAATATGTATTTTGACTTGCGCTGCTCACCGCAAGGTGGGGGGAAGGATCGGGGAGAGGGGCGGCGGGAGGTGGAAAGGCCCGGAGGGGTGGGGGCACAGAGACTCCCACCGTAGGCTTCGGTGGACATCATTAATTACTCATCGAAATGTCAAAAGCATTCGGGCGCAAAGGCAATTCGCACATCGTGGCATGGATGCATCGGGTTCTAGCCATTGCCACGCCTTAAGATAGAATCATAACAACTAGCTCGTTTGAAAACCCGCACACACCAGGCGTGACACGGCGTGGAGGCGAATATCGCACATTCGTTCTCAGTGTCGGAACTGCAGAGGTGGACAACATTGCACCTTGATTCCAGCAAGAGCATACATGGCAGATAGTCTTCGCATCGTCGCCTCACCGCTGCTTAAACCCAAGTGGCCGCTGACAAACAAAAAATGTTGCAGCTCTGTCTGTTTGCACTCCCCTCTGGACACGCGCACATTGGACAAGTCTTGCAAGCGTCGCGCCAGGGCCAAACAAGTGAACACGTTGAGGCGGCATCAGCACTACACTTCGAAGCAACTAGCCGTGCCGACGGGATGACCGCAGCGGCCGTGGTAATGGCACTTTAAATCAGCGGGCCCGCCCATAGCTTGCCCAGGCTGGTTCTGGTTGCTTGTTGTGCAGTGTCCCCTCGCTCTCATCACGGATCGCGAGAGGGAGCTGTACACGAGGGAATTCAGGGCCGGATCAACAGTTAATCAGTAAACCCACCAGCCAGTTCCTGCGAGCACCCCAGTCGCGCGTGCCGCAATCAGGTCACCGATTTCCCCAGGGCCACCCGAACGTGGGTGGCGCCAAGATGCACGCTCAGATTTCGAGTTCTCGACATGCTTGTGCGAAGCTTCGCCCCTGAGGTGATCGTCCCGCCCAGTTCATGTTCGGGCTGCCCTCTCCGAGTGCCGGATAGCAAATCAATCAGGCCATGGTCTTGTGTCCGAGCTTTCAATGGAGCAAGAAACTCTTCTACAGCAGCGACTTCGAGCCCGGGGCAGACGACGCGTGGCAGGACGTGGGCTTAGCGCGTGCCTTGACCAGGACGCACACATGAGTCACGTCATTCGACCTCAATGTTGCGGTTGACCCAAAAGGGGGTCCAGCTGAAAGGGGGTGTTGCAATAGATTCCTCTCGCTTCGCGGGGTGCGCGTCTGGAGCATGTACAGTCAAGTCGTTTTGGGGGTTCTCGGGAGTCTTTTGGGGACTTCTTTGGGATCTCTTTGGGCTTCGTGGGGGCGTCTTGAGCCGTATTGGGCGCTGTTGTGCTGTTTGGCCCTTGCGGAGGCCGTATTGGGGGCCTCTCGCGGCCGCCCCGGGGCTCTCTTGGGGTCCTCTTGGGCCGTCTAGGGGGCCCCTTAGGCCGTCTTGAGGTCCTCTCGGGCGTCGTCAGGAGCCGAAAGAAACGAGAACGCAAAAATCCTTCAAAACCCTTCGGAAAGTCAATGATTTGGGCTTGCGGAGGCGCAATTGGGGCTCCTCTGGGGGCTCTCTTGGGCCGTCTCGGGCGCTTTTTGGGCCCTCTTGGGGCCATCTTCAACCGTCTCGGGGCCGTCGTGGGCCGTCTAGAGCCCATCGTGAGCCATTTTGATGCCCTTTTGGGCCCCCGGGAGGGCCACGGGGCCCAAATCGGGAGCACGACCGATCGCAACCACTTCGGACTGATCGTCAACCACTTCGGACCGATCGCAACCAATTGCGATCGATCCGAAGTGGTTGCGATGTTGTTTGGGTCGTTCCAATCAGGTTTTGATTAAGGAAGAGATCATAAGAGCGCTTCTGGGTGCAATGAGCTCCCTTCAGCCGCCCAATGGGAATCTGAAAAAGCGGTTGCGATCGGGCCGGTCACAGACGGCCGATCATGATTTCAGCTAAACACATGAACTTGAGCTCGAACGTGGCCATGATCCGTATACGATTCGTGTGATACGTATACGAGTGAAACCGAAACTGAGCGAAAACGCCCGGCTTGAAACAAATTGCATCTCAGGGGGGGGGGAGGAGGAGGAGGAGGAGGAGGAGGAGGAGGAGGAGGAGGAGGAGGAGGAGGAGGAGGAAGAGAGGGAGGAGGAGGAGGAGGAGAAGGAGGAGGAGGAGGGAGGGCGAAGGAAGGGAGAAGGAGGAGGGGAGGGAGGAAGGGCAGAAGCAGGAGGAACAGGAGCAGGAGGAGGAGGAAGAGGGGGAGGAAAAGGAAGATGACAGGATAGCAAGGTGGGCAGACGCGGCGGCCCAGACCCCCAACGTCATGACTTTTCCAGAACGTCGACCCCCAGTGGTCTGGACGAATTCCCCTACGGTAGGTTCGTGCGGCGTCGGCATTCGGAAGGCTTTTGGCACCGCGTCGATTGTTCAACCTTGAATCGATCGCGGCCCCGATCGTTCAAGGTTGAATTTCGTCGGGTACAGTAGCCCCACCGTGTCCCTCGGTGCGCGATGCCTCGCAGAGAAGCCTCTCAGAGAAGCCTCTCAGAGAAGCCTCTCAGAGAAGCCTCTCAGAGAAGCCTCAGAGCAGCCTATCTGAGGCCGCAGAGAAGCAGAACAGAGAAGCCTCTCAGAGGCCTCAGAGAAGCCTTTTCATAGGCCTCAGAGAAGCCTTTCAGAGGCCTCTGAGAAGCCTGTCAGAGAAGGCGATCAGAGGCCTCAGAGAAGCCTTTCAGGGGCCTCAGAGAAGCCTTTCAGAGGCCTCTGAGAAGCCTATCAGAGAAGGCTATCAGAGGCCTCAGAGAAGCCTTTTCAGAGGCGTTGATGGGGCCTCGTCGGAGGCTCTTCGGGGGGGCTTGAAGGCATCCCGCCACCATGCCTGGGTTGTGGGACTGAGGCCAATCAGATGGTTGATGGGTCTCCTGGGAGGCCTCTCGGTGGCGTCCTGGAGGCACGTTTTGGACTTCTTGGGGGCCTCATGGAGGCCTCGTTGGGGCGTTCTGGGGTCATATAGGAGTTCTCTGGAGGCTTCTTGGGGCAACCTAAGGGCGTCTTGGGGCCGAAGGCTCGAAATGTCCGTTCGGGTTCCCCCTTCCGGGCCCCCTGGGGCCCTCCTGGGCGGTCTCGGGTTTTTTGGGGGGCCGTCTCGGGGCCTTCTTAGGCCATCTTGGAGCCCTATTGGGGGCCGCCTGGGGCAATTTTGGAGGCCTCTTGGGCCATCGTGGTCGTTGTGAAAACCCCAGGGGCGAATGTGTTGACATCATACGTTTTCTCATCGGAATGGGAAGATGTTTGTGTCTTGGGGCCCTCTTGGGGGGCCTCTTGGAGGCCTCTGGGAGCGTCTTGGCGGCATCTTGGGCCGTCTGGGTGCCATCCTGGGCGTCCTGGCTCGATCTTTCGGCGACTCGGGGCCCTCTTGGACCGTCTTGGGGGCCCCTTGGGGCCCCCTTGGCCCGTTGTGAGGCCCTCCGTTCCCCCGTAGCGCGTTCACCCAGGGGTCGTCCCAGGCCGGGGGGGGGGGTCAAACTCGCAGTTTGGGGTCCTTAGGGGGGGGATAACAATCTCACACGCCTAGAGACCCGCGAGGGGTCGGCGGATCTGGTGCAATAGATTTGTGGGGTTGCAATAGATTTGGGGCGTGCAATACATTCCGGTGCGCAAATGTATTGCTGGATTCTCGCGTGGTGCAATACATCAAGTGCAATACAATGCAATACAACTCTCTGGCGCAATAGATTTGCAATACTATTGCCCCACATCTATTGCATCACCCCCTTCAGCTGGACCCCCTTTTGGGTCAACCAAAATGTGTTGAATTTTCGCGGCGCTTGTGCCAACTTGTCTTGATTTCAGACCTGTTCTTTCCAGCGGGGGTTTTACGAAAGCACCTAATTCCTGCGGAAGGCTCAGTGGCCACGGATGCACGAATACCCTGAAAAAATATCGCCAAGAGGTGTTCCCAAAGTGCGGCAGGATGTGCGAATGCATTGTCCCATGGGGAATGGAGTGAAGATCAACGTTGCACGTCTCCTAGTTTATCTTGCTTTCACCTTATTGCATGCTTACGCTCGCGGGGCCAATTCGAGTTAGCTGGCGATGTTTCAGGTGGCCAGCCACGTGATGTTGCGTCCAATTGCCGTTGTGAGAGGCATTATCCGCCATGCGGCGATGTGTCATGGAGGGCTTGTCTGAAGGATTTGCAGATGCATGGCGTGAATTTCGTTGCGCCCGATCGGGTCAGTTTGTGTCTGTTCTGCAATGCGTTGCCTACCGCCTCTAAGAGGGTTCAGATTGGGGGAGCGCTGAGGGCGCCGTGTTCTTGCCGCTGAGCCTGGGTGGTGCTTACAACCACGGCGCGCGGCCGAACGTGTACCCGCAGCGGTTCTTGGATCAGCCTTTCGTACAGGCGCGGCATCGCCCCTATCCCCACCAACCCAACCACCTCGAAGTGGAAATCACAAGACAGCTCGCCGCTTGGGCCCCACCGCCAGCCCAAACGGCGAGCATAAATCGGGCGTAGCCCCTCACGCATTCGAATGCCCACGCTTCGTCCTCGTACTACTCGTATTCCTCCCCGTCCACCCCATCCTGATCGTCGTCGTCCTCCTCCTCTTTGTCCTCATCCTCCTCGTCTTCCTCCTGCTCCAGCTCCTCTCCGTCGTCCTCGTCTAGGACCTCGTCTTCGCTTCTCCTCTTCCTCCTCCTGCTCATCCACCTTCTCCTGGCACCTCGGCGGCCGAGAATAAAGCCCTCTCCTATCGGTTGCGGCATAGGTTGCGCCCTCGGCGGCCGAGAATTTCACCGTCTCCTATCGGTTGCGCCATAGGTTGCGCCTTCGGCGGCCATGAATAAATCCGTCTCCTATCGGTTGCGCCATAGGCTGCGCCCTCGGCGGCCGAGAATAAAACCGTTTCGTATCGGTTGGGCAATATGTTGCGCCTTTGGCGGCCGAGAATAAAACCGTCTCCTATCGGTTGCGCCATAGGGTGCACCCTCCGCGGCCGAGAATTTCACCGTCTCCTATCGGTTGCGCCATAGGTTGCGCCCTCGGCGGCCGAAAATAAAACCGTCTCCTATCGGTTGCCCCATGGATTGCGCCCTCGGTGGCCGAGAATAGAACTGTCTCCTATCGGTTGCGCCATAGGGTGCACCCTCCGCGGCCAAGAATATTTCTGTCTATCATCGGTTGCGCCATGGGTTGCGCCCTCGGCGGCCGAGAATAAAACCGTCTCCTATCGGTTGCGCCATAGATTGCGCCCTCGGCGGCCGAGAATAAAACCATCTCCTATCGGTTGCGCTACGGCCGAAGATAAACACCGTCTCCTATCGGTTGCGCCATAGGTTGCGCCCTCGGCGGCCACGAATAAAACCGTCTCCTATCGGTTGCGCCATAGGTTGCGCCCTCGGTGGCTGAAGATCAAACCGTCTCCTATCGGTTGCGCCATAGGTGGCGCCCTCGGCGGCCGAGAATAAAACCGTCGCGTAACGGGTGCGACCAGTCTGTTCATTCCAGTTCAGGTCAGCTCAGTTCAGTTCAGTCAGTTTACCCCGTGAGAAACAAATCCGGGCTACGCCCGAACAAAGCAAAAGCATGAGCACGGACTGCAATAGAACATGCGAGACGCCTAAAAAGCAGCGAATGTTTCTCCCAGCCCATGCACTGACAGGCCGACCTACGAGTCAATGTTCATCGAAGATTGTGCTCGGTCTTCCTCTGGCACACGCACCTCCGCAGGCGTGGGCGGCCCTGGAGGCGATCCCTGCCGGAGCCGAGCTGCTGCTGAGCTACGGGAGTGCGTACTGGGAGGCGCCCTGGCGCAGTAGAGTGGTCCGCACTCGGCTTCTCGGACGATGTCCTCGCTCTTGCTACCAGTCGGGTTATCAGTGTTGCCCGCGGGGGAACTCGTCGCCACTGCGGAGCGCAGCTCAGATTCGCGTCTGGATGGTTTTCGGGTCTGGTCCAGGGGGCGACCTGAGCAAGTCTTGGCCGGGGGGGGGCAGTGGTGCAAGTGTTACGATTGTAGAGATATTGCGTTCTGGGAGGTTCGGATACGAAGCGTGGAGAGCAAGGGACAATTTATTATGTTGGCACTTACGAAAAAATTCCAGGATGCCAGCCCCATCATCCTCTCCCGTGCTTGGGAGCGCAGCGGTTCTCAAAAGCGGTTACTATCGGTTCCCGGGTTTTAGATGTCCACAATATCACAGGTATGTTGCCGTCCTTTTCCGCAATTGTGTTGGAGGACCCTACAGTGTTTGCAATCGGCGGTCCCTACGAGTGGAAACTATAAAAAGTTGACGTCGTTGAATGCCTTTCCAATGGTTAGCACCGATTTCCGCCGACTGGGTCCTGGCCTTCGGTGACACTGTCCTTCGGATTTCCGATGACTGCCCACAGGTCCCGTCGGTCTACCAGTGGTTGCCCGTGGAGCACCGCCCAGAGGGCCCCAGCCTTATTTGTCCGTGTCTGTTGCATCCGAGGTGGTTGCCCAAAAGTTCCCGCCCAGAGAGTCATGGCATTAGTTGCCCTTGTGCGTTGTGTGTCTGTCGGATGCCCACATGGTCCCGCCCGAAGGTTCGCAGCCACGTGTTGGGTTTGAGGAGGGTGCCCAAGGGGAGTGTAGCCTTAGTTGACCTGACCTTGTGTGTTGGGTTGCAGGTGGTTGCCCAGAGTGTCCGGTCTAGTCAAGGTCAGCGGTGGTTGCCCCGCGCAATGGCCCCGCGCAATGGGTTCTAGCCTAAGTTGGCCCCGCGCAATGGGTTCTAGCGGTTGCTAGTTGGGTCCGGTTCAGCGGGTCCTAGTCTAAGTTGGCCCCGCGCAATGGGTTCTAGCGGTTGCCCACGGTCCCAGCGATGTTTGGTCACGGCCTTAGTTGCCTTTGTGTGTTGGGTTTCGGGTTGTTGCCCATGACGTCCCACCCATGGGGCCCAGCCTTGGTTGCCATTGCGTGTTGGGTCTCAGGTAGCTGCCGATTGTTCATAGAGTCGCGCCCCATACAGAGTCCTAGCGTTAGTTGTCACTGTATGTGTTGTATTTCGGATGGGATCCCAACCTTCGGATTTTCCATGGACGGCACCGGGGTTGTTGCCATCTTGGTGTTGCCCACAGCGTCTACAGGATGCAAGCATTAGTTGCTTTGTCAGCCCCCTGTGGTTGTTCGGGGTCCACTCGTTGGTGTTATAGGCCTGGGATCTGAAGCGAGAAGGCCTCACGGAATTAAAGTTGTGGGTGCCACTCGTTTCAGGTCCAACGAACAATGTTGTATGGTTGATGCACCAGTTCGCATTTGTCTCGCGTATACCGTATGCATGTTTTCCCATATGTTGGAGGTTAGGGTTGTTTTTCACATCTATATATATACACATACAAACACAGAGAAAAGGAGGGAGAGAAATAAAGAAAGAAATAAACAAAAAAACAACCGAGGGGGATGGGGAGGGCCACGGCATGGCCGTCAGGAAGCGTAGGAAGGAAAGGGCCAAATGCCCAGAATGAGAGAAGGGGGCGAAATCATTGCAATACGAAGAGTGGATGCGCGAAGAGTGGCCAGCCAACGGACTGCCCCTAGGGTGGTGGCGTGAAAGGGTTGGGGAACGCAAGAGGGCGTGGGCGGAAGAGGGGAGAGCCCGGAGGCCAGACCGAGTTCACGGCGCGGGATGCGGGGCGCTTGCGCGCAGCAAGAGGTCGTTGATGGGTGCTTGAGCGAAGTAGGCGAAGGGGCCAGCGTCCAGCGGTGGACCGACAGGGCCATCGTCATCTCCAGGGCCATTGGCGACGTTGGGGGAGCTCGCCGCCCTGGGGTTAAGTCGGGCATGTCCCTTTACAGGGGGGATATTCAAAAATAGTCAGATGATAGTCTGGGGAGTTTCCCGACTATTTCTGACTCTTCTTGATGATTTGTCGATCATGTGTTATCTATCCTCCAAAACCCGCCTCTGTAGGAGGACATGCCCGACCTGACCCTGGGGGCAGGGCCGGCGGGGGCGGGGCCGACGTCGCCTGGGGCGCTGCGGGCATTGGCCGCAGCGGGCGACCTGGGCCGCCGGGGCGCGCGGCGGCGACTGGCATGGCGCCTCCTCGCGCGCGGGGTGGGCCGAGACCTGCGGGAAGCGTCGGGGACACTCGCAGCGGGACTGCCCACGAGTCGGGTATGGCCAGGACCCCAGGTAAGGGGACCCGGTTAGTGGTAGGGCGCCAGGGCCCTCGAATTGGCCAGAATCACTAAGCCAGGTCTGTCGTAGCTGGTGTTGTTTCTGGTGACGGCAGTTCCGGTTCGTGGAACGGGGCGGGGGGGGGGGGGGGCATCCCCCGTTACACATCGTTAAACCGGGTCCCACTAAGCCCAGTTCTGCCAACGCCCGCACGACGGAGCCGTCCCCAAGCTGGTACCCCCCTCGCGGAGCTGCGAGCCCTGGCCTCCCCTGGCAGCGGCGCGGCCGCGGGGACCTGGATCAGAAAGACAGTCGTCGGGTTGGGAAGATGGGAGGAGGAGGAGGAGGAGGAGGAGGAGGAGGAGGAGGAGGAGGAGGAGGTGAAGGAGGGGGAGGGGGAGGAGGGGGAGGGGGAGGGGAGGAGGAGGAAGAGGAGGAGGAGGGGAGGAGGAGGAGGAGGTGGAGGAGGAGGAGGAGCAGGAGGAGGAGGAGGAGGAGGAAGAGGAGGAGGAGGAGGAGGAGGAGACGATCGTATCATCGATATTGCCGCGCCTGCCGACGGTGCTTCCTGCACAGTTGCCCCCTGTATCCTCGCAGCCCCTCCCCCCCAACACGATGCCTGCTTTTCTCGCCAGAGGACCCAGCCCATGGCACGTGGAGGCGCTCCAGAGCACCGCGGGAGTTGGGCGCGGTCGACGGTGAGGGCGCCTCCCAGCTGGATAGCTGGAGCGGGCGGTGCTCGGATGCTCGTGGACGGAAAAGAGGGGGGTGATGACTATGGGGGGGTGGATATCATGGCGGGGGCCATGATATTTCCCCAGCTTTCATGGCGCCTTTTCTTATTTCATTATGTCCCTGGCCCCCCCGCTGGGCCGCGCACATGCCGCCGGTCATGATTTGCACCCCCCCCTCTTGGACACCCCCCTCTTGGCCGCTCCCGACCATGCAAGCGGGGGTCAGCCAGGGCACCAGATCCTGCAGGATCCTGCGAAGACCCCCTCTGGCTGACCCGGGTTAGCGTGGCCGCGAGGTGGCCGCGCATGTTGGCTGACCCAGGTTTGCGAAGCCCTGCGTTGCAGTGTTGTTTTCTTGCATTGCAGTTGTTTGGTTTCCTGCCGACCCGGGTCTGATTGACCCGGGTTAGCAGATCCCCGAGGTGCGCCCAGGAGGTCGCGGAGGAAGAAGCGCCGCCACGATGAGGGCGGGCCGGCGCCGATCGCCGCCTCGCTCCCTCTCCGGGCGCTTCTCGTCGAGGAGCTGCGAGGCCCTTGGTGTAGGAGTTGCGCGTGGGCGAGGTGCCGGAAGTCGCCGTCAGCATGGCTCGGGGCTCCAGAGAGGCGGGGGTCACCGCAAACGCTCGGGTCGGGCGAAAGGGGGGGATTGGGAAAGGGGGGGTTACGAAATTTGCTGCATGCAGCTGGTTTCGGCCTCACCGAAAGGCCAATTCCTCGATACATGGCCGCTCCCGGCGCTGGGAGGCGCCGGGAAAATCAGCGGCGTGAGCTGATTCTCAAACCCCCCCTTTGCTATCCCCCCCTTTCGCCCGACCCGAAACGCGTCCGTGAGAGCGCTGGGCCTGGCAGGATCCTGCAGTGCCAGGGCTGCACTGGCCAGGGCCGGCGCGCAGGGTCCCGCAGGAGCTTGCAGGAGCCTGCGCAAGGCCGGACTGGCCCGGGCCTGGATTGGCTCGAGTCGGCAGGTCCCCGAAGCCTGGGGAACATCGAGGTGGGGGCGCGGTGCGAGGGTTGCACTGCCGGAGCTGCGCCTGCTCGCTGCCACCCGCGGGCGGGCTGCCACCCGCCGAAGAGCGACTGCCGCGGCTGCGGGCTGTTCCCAGGGTGCACACCGTGGAGGCAGGGGGCAGCGGAGGCGGCAGCGGGAGCTTGCCACTCGACCGGCAGGCCCTCGGTGCCCAGTGCGGGAGCCCGTAACTAGCGCAATCCAAAGCTCTGCCAGGTAGTGTCAGGTCGGGCATATCCCCCTACAGGCGATACAAGATAGTCAGAGAATATTCCCAAATGGTCATGTGTATATATATATATAGATAGATAGATAGATAGATAGATGAATTAAAATAGTGCGATTTTTGAAAATTCCTCCTGTAGAGGGACAGGCCCGACTTAGAGGTAGTGGCGCCAGAAGCGGGTTTTGCCGCCGCGCCTGGGGGATGGCCAGGCAGCCCGCTGTGCCTGCCCCCGAGGTCGGCGACGGGGGCGAGGAGCTGCTCCGGGGGGAGGCGGAGAGGGGAGTGGCGAAGGCAGAGGCAATCACCGGTGTGGTCGGTGTGGCCGCGAGGGGTTGGCTGGACTGCCCGGGCCGAGCCCGCCGTCGCCTGCCGAACACGGGCGGCGTACGCACACACACACACACACACAAACACACACACACACGCACGCGCGCGCGCGGAACACACACACACACACACCATACACACACGTACATACATCATACACTCACGCACATACACACACCATATACACACACGCGCGCGCGGAACACGCACACCCACACACACACACACGCACGCACGCACGCACGCACGCACGCACGTACACGCGCACGCACGCACGCACGCACGCACGAACACACACACACACACACACGCACACACACACTTTTTCTGTCAGCGGCG